GCCGGGAGCCTGATGTGGGACTCGATCCCAGGACCCTGGGATCATGACCTGAGCCGAAGGCAGACGCTTAACCATCTGAGCCACCCAGGCGCCCTGGCCCTGGGTATTCTTGGAGAGGCCACTTTTTCTTGGGAAGTAACAAGTAGTCTTTGTGAGTGAAGTCTGCATGGGCTCACCTGCCACCTATTGGTGAGAATGTTCACCCCCCAAAAGTCCCTTACTTGTTAAACCAAAGACTCCCATCCATTTAGATGCCCCAGCACTGTCAGGGAATCTCAAATGTTTTCCCCCTGAAAAGCAAAATACATCAACCTTTGAGAATTAAAGTAATAAAAATCAACTTAATTGGTTTTCTGTCCACATGGAATTCATGAGTAAAGATTTTGTAATGAAGTTGTTACTGTACACATAGTTAGCTTACTGTGTTCTATGCTCTGATGTCTCCATTAATGATTTTGACTAATAGTTTCACCCATCTGGGATGGTTCTGGTCATTTTAATGAAAACTGTTGAAGTTATTCCAAGTGGATCAATACTGATCATGATAGAAAACATCAGTTTTTTGTAAAGTGTAGACACTTCTCCCTACCTGAAACACAACAAAAAGTTACCTTATGTTCTTGAATAAAACTAAATAAACACAAGGTGGATTTTAACTGCAATGTAAATTCCTATGTGTCTATTCTGGAGTCTCTGAATAAAAGTTCAACAACCAGCATTTCAGACTGCCGGGGAATGAAGAGCAAATTCTTTTTTTAAAAAAATATTTTATTTATTTATTTGAGAGAGAGAGAGAAAACACGAGCAGGGGCAGAGGGAGAAGCGGGCTTCCTGCTGAGCAGGGAGCCCGTTGTGGGGCTCAATCCCAGAACACTGGGATCATGACCTGAGCCAAAGGTAGATGCTTAACCCAGGCTCCCCAAGAGCAAATTCTTTTTTTTTAAGATTTTATTTATTTGACAGAGAGAGACACAGTGAGAGAGGGAACACAAGCAGGGGGAGTGGGAGAGGGATAAGCAGGCTTCCTGTGGAGCAGGGAGCCTGATGCGGGACTCAATCCCAGGACCCTGGGATCATGACCTGAGCCAAAGGCAGATTCTTAATGACTGAGCCACCCAGGCGCCCCAAGAGCAAATTCTTAATAGCAACTCCGAAACAACAAATAATGGCTCAGAATGAATGAAAAGGACGACAGGATAGTTGGGTTTTTTTTCAGCATTTATTTTGAATTTTCATTTTTGGATAACCAAGCAGCTCTGTAAGGAGAATGCACAGAAGAGTCATTCTGGCACTTTTGGGTAGTACATACGATTTCTTTAATAGTCACATTCACTTGCTCAGTCCATACTCCATGTCTGGGTGAGCAAGATCAGCCCATAGGATTCCCGAGTTAATACATAACCGTATATACAGACAGCCAATGAAACCATAATGGTGGCTGGTGGCCGAAGGGATAGAGGAGGGAAGGCGATCTCTAAAGTGTCCTCTCGTCTACCTTAGCTCAACAGAATCCACATCACACATGGGAACTAGAGAGAACACTGCGTTGAAATGAGAATTGGGAGCACAAACGGGCACTTGGCAGCATGCAGTTTAAAGAAAAGGGGTATCACTTAATAACTTTATAAAATCCAGGCAGTTCAATTAAAGGAGTTAAGAAAGAAAAAAAAAGAAGAAGAAGAAGAAGAAAGGTGAGGGACTGTTGTTGTCACTGTAAAAAAGGCACTTGGAGTTAATGGGACCAGAATTGAAGGGCTCTCAGCTGACAAAAACTTCAGTACGATTTCATTTAAAAGGCTTGGAGGTTAAGAGGTGACACACTCGGGAGTTCCCGGAAGGAGACACCGAAATAAACCACCGAGAAGCAGAACAGATGAAAAAGAAAGAAGGAAATCTTTACAACCAAATTGTGTGTGTGTGTGTTGTTTTTTTTTTTAAAGCAAACCCGAAACGAAACCTAACCAACGCAAAAAACCTAAGCAAAGTAAGAGCACGAAGCAGCGATGCATAGCTTTCCTTTGAGATAATGCATACCTCGAGACACTAAGTGCTAAGCTAATATCTCAATAATAACTTCACAGGTGCATTATCGTGATAAAATGGATTCAAGCAATGTGACAAGAGTTTCATCTGTTCCCAGAATCTGAGGGACAACTGAGGTGATCAGCAGAACCTTAGCAACATCACTTGTGGTTTCTGTGTCCAAGATGCAGAGTGACGTCCGGACACCACGTTCAGCCATCTCCCTGGAGGCGAGGCATCCGGGAACATCATCCTTTATTCTGTCATAACTTTGATTCTTTTCTGACATTTACACAGTGAACCGTGATGCAGGGAGAGTCTGCTCCCACGGATGCCGCTGTTCAATGTCTTCCCCGAACAGGTAAACTGCTTCCGGAAGAAAGGATTTTTGGCAACTGCATTATATTCCACGGCTGGGTGGCTCTGTGATCGCTCATTTAATGTTAAACGCCATCAGGGGTCTCTCCTCCCGTTTCTGCCAGGGGCTCTTCTTGTCTTCTCCTTGGTCCTCCTCATCTTCCTCTTCGTCGTCCTCCTGAGCAGATCTTCTCTGTTCGGGGCTGGCGAGCGGCTCCGCGGGCACGTCCGAAGTTCGTTTGGCCGTCTCCTCCTGCAGGCTGGGCAGCTGGCCGCCGCTCCTCCGGCTGGAGCCATCCAGCAAGCACCGCAGGGCGCTGTCCTCGGGGGTGCACACGGTGGTGCCGCCCTCGCTGCTGCTTTGGTCCATGTCGTCCAGGTACACGAGCTGCGTGTAGGAGGTGCTGTCCGCCGCCCTTGGCTCTTTCTGCGGATGCTCCTGGGCAGCCGGGTGGCTCTGCGCAAGGGACAAGGGGTCTCCTCTTCCCTTCCGGGCAGATTTTGGTTCGTTCATATCCACACCAGAATCCAAGCTGGCGTCGTTACTTCCGTTCCTCCCAGCTCTTTGGAGATCAATGTACGAATGTCTAACGTGCGCGTTGGACCTGCCGTCCAGGGAGACGAACCACGCCCGGGGGTGTGGGAGCGGCTTCCCACCCCCAAGTTCCATCAGCGCCTTTTCGGTCAGGAGCTGGACCTCGCTGTTCATCTGAGCCAAGGCCGCATCGTTCAGGGATGCCGGGATGGAGAGAGACTCTGACATGGACGCACCTTGTGGCGTCCACTCCCGGGTGCCCGCGTCCTGCAAGTGCTGCTGGGAGGTTGCCTGGCATGACAGGGGCTGCGCTTGGATCTGGGAGGAGGGGTGCGGGAAGATGCCTGCATGGGGACTGGAGAGCTCTGCCTGCAGTCTTCCGATCTCCAGCTGCTGGTCGGCCGGAACGACCAGGGGCTGGCCCACGTAGGAATGGTCCCCCGGGAGTTTCATATAATGAGCGGGGATGACCAAGGCAGGTAATACCTTTCTGTAAACGCTGTCATTGACCTGGTCCACGGAACTACAACAGATCAACTGGCCGGGCCGTGGAAAGGATGTGGGTCTCTCCAGGTGGTCTACTGACCGCGACATCATATACTCTGTAGGCCGGCGGTCTAGCAGCTGGTCCTTTTCGGAAGATGAGGGCGCGGGGTACATGTGTTCCTGAATGGTGAGCTTGCTTCCTGTGGGGATATGGTTCACAGAGGCCTGACTGTCTCTGTCTTGCTTTTCAAACAAAGGCTGGGAGAGCATGGCATTGTAGCCCCTCCTATACTCGCTGTTGCCCGGGGACTCACAGCCTTCTCTTTCCAGAGGTTTCCTGGACTTTAAGGGGAAAATCTCAACAGACTTGTGGTACTCTTTTCCCAACGTCCCACTTGGTGTCAGGTTATCAAAGGAGATTTGGCTTTTATCCTCTTCCTTGTGAGAGAGAAGTTCCTCCCGAGAGCTGAATTCCTGCGAGGTACTGTAGGAGAGCTTTAGCATGGGGGTGTGCATGTCCACTTCTCCGTTGGAAGACATCATTTCTAAATGGACCCCGCTCATCAGTTCCTTGGGCCCTGGGGCGTCCGGGCGGCCATGGCTGGTGACAGAGAGGGGGCCAGGGAATTCTGACTCCCGACGAGAAAAGAGCAAGTTGATGTGAGACATGGAAGTCGACTGATCCCGTTTGGAGCTCTCCAGGGCTGCCGGAAGTTGCAGTTTTCTATGGTGCTGACGAGGTTTCAAGCATTTCCGCCTACGATCAAAGATAAAATCCAAACCCAGAGGTTAAAGATTCTCGTAGCAGTAAAGTTCCCCGTGAAATCCCAATTCTCCATTTCCACAGGAAGAAACAAGACAACTAACCAACAGCCAGAAGCCTTCTCACCCCACACCCTCAGCCTTATTTTGATTCAGAACAGCACAATCTGCAGATTTCACCTGCAGGCTTTTATACGTTTAACCAAGTTATTCATTCAAGAGCAGTCCCCCAAGAGTCGACAACAAACATTCTCACAAAATGGAAGAGCCGAGGCATCAAAATAGGAATTTTAGTTCTGCTTTGTCCTTGAGAATCTCATCTCTTAATCAGGGGTTAGGAATATTCTGAACGAATCATGACAACTGTCAAACTTAAAAAAAATAAAATAAAATAAAACAACTTCCCTTCTGAGCAAACTTATAAACAGCATGCCCCCCACATCATGTTCATTTGTTCACAACTTTAAGGACAAATGTTCAGTTCTTCAGCAGTTTTTCATGAGGAAAAAAAAAAAGGACCTTGATTCAGAAAAAGAAAAAAAAAAAAAAGACCTCAAAATCAATGCTTGCCCAAGAAATTCCATATTAAAAAAGATATTGCCAAAAAGGTAAAAACTTTACCTGCAATAATATAAAAGGAGACACAGCAGAACCAAAAGTATGAAAGCCATTCCTCCTAAAATGGCCAAAAGAAACACCGTGTGATACGTGGTTATGTCCTGTGTGACAACGGGACCTAGAAGGTCAGAAAAGGGCATTTTAGATTGGAGAACACCTTGAAAGGAGAAGAAGGACACACAGAACCAAGAGCCTACGTTTTCCTTACTCTTCCCGGCTGGGGTGTGCAGCAGGGGCCAGATGCAAACACCCTTTAGATGATGCACTTACAGATCACCGGAATTTCACTCAATGGAAAGGGATTACCACCACCGTCCCTGGAGCAGCTGTGGCCGGGAGTGGTCTGTATAGTCAAGTGCTAAATGCAGGGTCAAGGGTCCCTCCTTAGCCTGGAAGACAGCCGCATTCGGTAGCAGGCTCAGCATTCTAAAGACGTGATCTTTCAGTGAAAGCAAAAGGATGCATGATGACATAATGAGTGGGACTCTTAGAGAGATGGCTTATCTGGGGATCTCGTACTGCAGGAGGGGAAAAAAAAAAATCGCAAGATTTTATTCTCACTTTCCCTGGATAATTATTACTGCATGGAGGGCCCTTTGCCTCAATGAATCAGTTGCAAGATCGGAAATGAATCGGCTATGACTTAAAAAAAAAAAAAATCCACAGCTGCTTATGGGTTGTCAAGCGTTTCTAAAATGTCTTCCGTTTTTTAAAAAATAAAATCTTCCTCTACAGTGCCTTTTCAAAATGGCTAACCTGATGCTGGCCACAGAACTCTTCAGAACTTACAGACAAGGTCCCAGAGATAAACATATTTTCTTCTTAATTTACATTGTAAAGAATCCCAAGAGGGAGTTTAACAATAAAGATATTGTTCAATAGCAGTAAGAATCCACCTTAATGGCACTGATAACAGATTGAAAGCGACAATGAAAACCTCCCCAAATTATAATATTGGGGGACACATTGGTGTCCAGGCATCCCAGTAGTGAGCCAATAGATGGGAAGGAAGGAATGTGGTTTTTCATTATGTCCGACTGGCATGGTTATGATCACCATGCACCAGAAACACCCATTTACTTATTGATTCTTGATATTTTAAGGGATAGATTTCTTCAAAAAATCTTTGCAAGGAGACCCCTTAAGAGCTAGATAAACCTAAGGAGGTGTACTAGTTTTTGAAAATAGTGACATTACTTAAGTTCAAAAGGTACCACCATTCTCTCCCAAACATAATTCACTTCAATGGGGTGAATGGAGTTAGTATGTACAAAAGTTAGAAAAATAACTGACAACTATACGCTGCTTTAATCATTCAGATAAACAATTTTTTACCCAGACACGACCCCCAGAGACATGGGCGATACCTTTGGCAGGAGCCACCAAAAAAGCCGGGGGACACATAAAAATCATTTCCAAGGAACTCAAGCTCAATCATTTAAGTACTTAAAATGTTATCTTAACTTATGCCAATGGAAATCTCTAGAAAATTCACAGCCGTACTTAAATTTTATAGATTTTTGTCTCTTCCTTCGCTGCTAGGAAAGGTTGGTGGACCTAACAGCAAGAAGTTCTTTCTGCCCTTTTTACAGAATATCTATTATTCTGTGGCGTGATGGGCAAACTGAGAGCCACGGTGGTTGGAAATCTATCTCAAATGAAAGTTAACTGTAATGCATGGGCTTTTGTGGCCTCTGCTTGGAGACTTAAGGTATTTATTTTCTTTCCTTCCTTCCTCTTAGTCATATTCTAGATATTTCAGATTTGGAGACTGGGGCATTTCTGTATCTGGCTCACACCTCTACCGCTACAAGAACACTATCACAAAGGGAAACACAGACTCTCAAGACACAGATGTGAAATGTACATTTTCTCAGTATGGGAACAGAAAGTGAACGGGACCAATGTCTCAACACCTCCGTCAAGTTAGTTACTTTGGGAGTCTGAGTGTTCACTCCAGTGATAATTCCACTGCTAAAATATTTTGGACTCCTTCATGACGAGAGACAGGTTTTAATCATAGCACATTTTGACCTAGCTCAATTACCTACTTTATTCACCAGATTTGGCTGTGCATGACTCTTAGATATGTCTAAGAAAAATCAAAGGGACCCTCTGAGCATAAAGATCTGCCACCAATGAAATGTTTCACTAAGGAAGGCAGTCTAAGTGATACAGATTCTAAAGGCATTTTGAGGAACAGAAGCCATCACTGGAAAGAATTCTCCAAAGATGATTATTTTAAGAAACAATTCTGGAATAGTCATTGGGATAACTTAGGGCGTATAGGTCAAAAACATTTTTTTTAGTCATGCTTTAAAAAATATGAATTAATTCGCATATGCTAAATGGAGATGACTACTGTTCTAGACACAAAGCAACTGGTCTGTTTTTAAGCCTTTAGGAAATGCCAAATCAAGCTTTTTGCCCCAAGAAGGCTCCAATGGGGATTGTCTGCTAGCAGCTCTGAGGAGTGCCCTTCCCCCATATTTCTCTTACTACAGGCCACAGCTGTTTCTGGAATTAGGGAGGAGGTCTGAACTGCCTCTATGAGCTTTAGATTAGGAATTCCCTATGGCAGCTGTCTGAGCAAAACAGAGACAAGAGACAGGAGTATGTTCTGTGCATTTTTCTTATCCTAGATGGGAGAGTCACAACCAGAACTCCAACCCCCACAAAATACCTTCGTTTCGTCATTTGATTTTCAGACTTTCAACCGTTTTTTAAAACTCATCTCTCCACCCAATGTGGGGCTCGAACTCATGATCCTGAGATCAAGAGTCACAGGCTCCACTGACTGAGCCAACCAGGTGCCCTTCTCCACCGTTTCTGAGTAAGATGTGATCTCCCTGTTAAAGTAATTTTCAAAAGCATACTTAGCCTGAACCCTCAAAGAAATCACCGCCCACCATCGCGGGTGTTGGCTTTGTGTTACCTGGGTTGGGAGGAGACATGGCCGCCACCCAGTACCCCAACTGAGGGGCAATGTACGTCCACGTCCGCTGGCTACCTTCCTGGTGCACAAGGCCTAGACCACTCTTCAGCCACGTTCCTGTGGGATGCAGAAAAAACTTCAGCTATACACACGCTGAACTCCTATTTCAGGCTTACACATATCACACCAGTCACCTTAAATGTCATGTTTGTGACCCATCATGTAGCCAACATGGTCCAAATGTCATGTAGGGACAGCATAAGCTTTCTGTGGATTCTTTTCAGCTTCTTTCAGGGAAGATGGATACTTTAGTTTTTCCTTGCCTTTCTGATTAAATATTACTTTCAACCACTTTCTCAAACATCTTTGCTTTCAAACACAGATAATTCTACCAGAAAGCTTTGGAGGTTAGTAGAATAAAGGTTGCAAGACAAGGGTTGGTGGGAGTGGGAAAAAAAAGGAGGGGGGGAATCCAGTATTGTTTATACTCTTCATTCTCAAGAAAATAAGCAAATTTCCTGTCCAAAATCATACACTGGTTACACTGGAATTACTTATGGAAGTTTAAAAAAATAGAGAGTTCTTGGTCTTATTTTTGCAAATTCTAATCTAGTAAACCTGATTGAGAGGTGCATATTTTATTTTTTATTTTTTAAAGATTTATTTATTTATTTATTTTGAGAGACAGAGAGAGAGAGAGTGTATATGTGCGGGGGTGGGGGGAAAGAGGGAGAGAATCCCAAGCAGACTCCCCACTGAGTGTGGAGCCCAATGCAGGACTCAATCTCACCACTCTGAGATCATGACCTGAGCCAAAACCAAGGGTCGGACCCTCAACCAACTGAGCCACCCAGGCACCCCGTAGGTGAGTATTTTAAAAAGCTTCCAGTTGATTCTGGTACTGGGAAACACTGGATATGTCCATGTCTGTGCTTTCAGTTATTAATTAGTATTTAACATTAATGAGCACCTACTATGTACAGGCTGGTCACAGCAAATGTATTTTATATGCATTGTCTATAATCTCACAGCAACTCTATAGAATAAGACTTATTTTCTCTTTTTGGATGAGGACACTGGAGACTGGAGAGGTATAGACCTCTTCTAAGACCCCTCAGGGGTACAGAGCAGGGCAGAAGCTGACCCACGTCTGTCTGTCTGTCCATCCTCAGGGCCAGGGCTAGTTCTTCTGATCTACCCTGCTGCATTTCCTCTAAACCTTCCCAACATTTGGTGACTTTTGCACTTTTTAATTTTTCGAGACACAGACCCAACGCCCAAGGACATTTGGCTGTTACTCACTGGTAGAGAACCTTGCTTTGAGGCCCATGATGGTGGCGGGCAGCAGAAGGCAAGGGAGAGTGCTGGCCAAGCCCTCCAGCCGTCCCCGCACACCCACCCCAGCCTACCGATGTGGAGGCCTCCCTTAGCCGGGCTCCTGC